TTGTATCCATTGCACGGTGATAATAACAACCACCCCAAACTTGTAGAAAACTTTAAAATTCTCAACTCCAAAACCACAGGTTACGAACTCTTTATTAAAGAAAGTCTCTCCATTTTCAATGATCACCCAACACTAAATAATAACATTAACTACTCCTCCCTGTTGTCATTAATCAATTCCGGATTCTCAATGTTTTTTAGTTGATATTTATTATTATTTTAAAGATACGGTGTTTATACTTATATTTAAACCTTTCTTTATAATGGTTTCTCATAACAATGTTATTTATTAAACGTGTATGACGCACGTTTTACCGTACATTGCATTATATTGTTACCGTTTAAATCTGTTTTTTCTAAACTTTCGATTGGATACCAAAACTCGCTCAATGCTAAAGTTATTTTTTGTAGTTCGAATAGTATGAACTAATTTTTTTTAGATATTAACGCTGATTACAGAATTTAAGAAAATTCCGTAACGTCCGTATTAAAGATGTTTTTTGGTATTACTGTGTTTTTAACACATATTAATATATATATTGGCATTTTGGAGAAATTGTAAAGGGAATAATATACTTATTTCTTTCCACGTTGGTGAAGGATTTTGTTTTTCTGAATTTTGAAAACAGTAGCCACTAAGAACTGAAATCTAACTATACCCGTGTTTTTGCATGGGATCTTGTGGAACAAGGATTTTATAATCATATTTTTTAGATGGCATCTATCTGTATATACGAAAATGTGACAAGTATGCATTTAACAGCAAGATAACAGTATATACAAGCAAAAGCTACTTGTTAAACCAATTATGTTTGTATCCAGTGAAGGGTATTTTGTTTTGGTTCTTATTCCATATCTTACTAATTAAAAAAAAATAAATAAATGCTGCAGCAATTATTCCCCACATATTCTAAAATGATGTCGAAAACATTTACACCTGGAAACAACCATGTGAAGTGGTTGTTGTGGATAAAAGATTTTGGGGTGAAGTGGATCTCCTGAAAGAATTTGGTATGAAACCCAGATGTTATTTTTTCTGCCAAATGAGATGCAACCAACACCCTGCAAAAGAATGTAATATTTCAAAGATTGTCACAAAAGTGTGTTGGATTGGAGAACTAGTGAATGGTCACATAAGACAGTGAATGATACTGGATACATTATTTACTAACATACAGGTTCCTTTTACAAAGGTTTATGTGAGAATGGTCACTGACTTTTATTACTGTTATCAACCTTTATATGAAACATTGAAGCAAAATTTGCTGTCACACAATGTTTGCTCAAGTTAGTGAAACAATCCATCATACTCCAAGCAAACTGTCAAGTCAATCTGGATGCAGATTATGAGGGTTTTTACTTTCAATAATTGTCTGAAGAATGTCTTTGGTCAGACATTGAGTGTATATCAACAGAAGCAGGCAGTATCATACACTTAAGAGTATCAACCTGAGAATTGGCTGCATGTTTTACTGGGAAGTGAAGGGGCATGGCAGAACCTACAGCTGCATTACACTCATCCTTCCACGTGCTGACCATGTTTTATTTCCAATGCCAGATTAAAAAATTCTGGGGCTCTGTGCAGTATAGAAAATTTTCCTTCCTTAGGCTAGACAGAGAATATGATATATACAGCCTGTACAACTCAGTGGAAAACACACAATCACCACTAACACTGCAAAGATTTTGTGTTCATACTATAATAATTTGATATCAAATATAATTAATTGAAAAATATTCATATATCCTGCCCTACTGAACAAATAAATAAATTGTGATAGCATTGGGCTCATTGTAAAATATAAATGAGTGGATAATGTTTAAGAGTATTGTTAATTTTAGCCTCTTGTGATTCTTTTATATATATATGGTAGAGAACCCTCTTCTGAATTGTGGGTCCCGTGCAAGTGTACTGAATGCACTTTGATCAATAAGGGCCAAGTTACCTCAAGAAAATGAATAAGAACAAAGGCCAATAGAAGGAAAGTAACTGAACAACTTTTTTGACCACCTGTTGTTATATGAAACTTGCACATACCACAATGGATTAAAAATTTCAAATAATACTACATTAAAATAAGAACACAAAACAGTCATGGTGTGCTTATATTTTTATATTTACTATCTTCATGAAATCGAAATGTACGTGCTATTTCAAAATTATAAGTTTTCTAGCTTTAAGTAAAGATTTTCATAAACAGATGTAATTTTTAGTTAAAAAAACAAAACAAAAATGTTTACAACTATGTTAGCCACACCATTACATATAGTACCAAAGAAATATAAATAGAATCTATGAAATACTATATTCAAAGTATCGTAGTATAGTTTATAATCTTACACACAAAGCAGTATGATCTGATCCATTTTTATAAAACACATACATATAAATGTGGTGAAACATAAGAAGACAAATACTGTGATATACCTGTGGTTGAATAACATGCTATTTTGTTGAAAAATAACTTAGTTCTAGAGATACAATGGACTACATTGAAGGTACACTGCAGTGCAGGCAGGGTTTGACTGAATGATACTACCTTGCAACAAATAATCTAGGTTAAGTTTTATTGACAAAATGGCTGAGAACACAAGGTTTGACTATCAGAAAAGAATGTGTTTACATGCTGTTTAAGAGTTAAACTAAGTTTTGCTTACAAATCAATAGCTACATAGATTAAGGAAGAAAATATATCTGTTGCCATAGTTATTTTCTAGATATGTTAAAATAAAGAAATCACTGTATGACAAAGGAGGATTATCACAATTTTGGCTTTGTTTGTGACTGCTTTACTCACCAACAGTTCAACTGTAAGTTGTGACTGGTCTCAGTGAAGAGCACTTTTAAACATTTGTTTCTAGAAATGCAGTTTAAATTATCATTCTTGTAAGTAGTGAAATTGTCACAGAAAACAAAAAAATTACATTGTTAAGAAGCCAGTGACCCCCAAAGAAACCCATTTAACTGACTTATTACCCACTAGGTTGATTAATAAAATCCTTATTGGTCTTTTGTAAGTAACTAATCAAGCATGGCCATATTACATTTGTTATTTACCATTTAGATATATTTAGTACACTGTCAAAGGTTTGTGTACTCACCAATTGATAAAAAAATTCTCCTCACCCTTGTCTGTCTTTATTTTCTTGCTTCACATGCTCCTATCTCTCACTTGTTTTCTTAAGTTATCTCTGCTTTCTTGTCTCTTTCTTTCCTAAGTCTTACCCTATTTAACTACTGACTCTGATTCATGTAAAAACATATGCATCCTGTCATCTGCCATAGTTTGTTGTGGTTCTGCAGTTTTTGGGCAGGGTTTAAAAATCGTATGACAAACATGTGCATGATGTTCTATGAGGCACATTAAGAACTCTGGTTAAAATCTTCTCAAAGGGTACACTTTAGTAATCAGTATCTCATAAGCTATTTTGGTTTGAGAATCATTAACCTCTAAGAAAGGGACTGTAGTGTGTTGTGTCATTTGCTCTGCAGCAAAATATATTTTGAAACTGAAAGTTTATGATTGCAATAAGATTTGTACTAGAACTTGTCAGAAATTACATTATTTTTCAAATTTTAGTTGATGTTTTATGAAAAAAAGTAATTAACTCTCCAGATATTTCACCTAGTACTATAATAAAAGACAACATAAATATTAGCAAGAACAGCCATGTATCAGAAACAAATGTACAAATTAGTGTATGCGTTCCATCTAAGATGTCACTAATAATCCATATGTTCAAGAGATTAATGTTGAAGTTTTATTGAGTTTAGAACATTACATGTTAGTGACAGAAACCACTGGTAATAGAATTTGAAAATAAAAATGTATTAAATATAAATGAACCACGAGACAAGATATAAAAAAGTGAAATAGTATATCTAATTACAGGAAGAACATGGCAGTATCAGAAATCAATGTTATATTTATACATGTAAGTGACAGAGAAATATACAAAAATGTGCAGAAATAGTCATAAACTAACAAAAACTATAAACATTAGACACTGCACAGAACTGATAAAGTTGCAGAACAAATAGTAACAGTACTTCAAATTAGACAGAATCATAAGAACCCTGCTCATTCCATGTAGCTGATACAGAGACATATAACTTCTTCCTTAACAGAAATTGTACGCACAATCTGATAATAGACAAGATGTAATCAAGCAAGTGCTATATCAACTGACTTAAAGGGGTTAACTCATTATCTTCCCATAATGAGAGAATTAATAACTCAAAACACATTACCCCCCCATAACAAACAAGTCTTGCCTTCAGGCCCAATTCAAAAGGTCATTGGATGACCCACACAAGTGCTAATCTTGCATACCAAATGAAACGTCCTGGGCTCAGTTATGCACATGGGAGCTGTAAAAATAGAATTATCAAACACACAGCTAATAAAGAGTCATACTACTCCTTCCATATGAAGATCTAGAACAATAAAATCACACATTTAATTGACAAAACACTATAGTAAATAGTTTAAATCTGTAAACATAAAAAAACTATGCTAACAGTAACAAGATCATAATGATTGCAGTCTTTCTTGGTTTAAAGGCAGTCACCATTAATGAAAAGATAGAGAAAACTTTACTCACAGTCACTGGTATGTTCTCAGAAAAACAAGAGTTACAAGATTCCAATCTAAGGACAAATATGGCAGATGTTACCACATTTCTATTTGTAACTACTAGCCACACAATTAAGTATGAGTACTCGGAGCTAAATACTTTGACAACCAGTCACACACTCAGGTATAGATGCTTGGAACTACCTGAAGTGAAAACCAGTCACAACCTTAGAAGTGATTATTTGGAACTACTTGTTTTGATGATGAGCTACTCTTGAAGGGAGTATGTTTGATTCTACCGAATGTGATAGCCAATTACATCTTCAAGAGTGGGGCTAAGAACAATGTACTGAGAAAATAAGTTACACCCTCTGTACTGAGTGACCATTCTCAGTAATAATCTATGAAGGAAACAAACTCACCATATTTTTTGTGAAAAACTTTATTCAGATGACTTCTTGCTTTGTAGAAAGGATTCATTAAACACAATCTTGTAAGTTTAAATATCAATATAATGATAACAAAACTGTAGACTACAAATAATTATTCTTTTGACATACATGATAACCTGATATAATTAGGCACAATTATTATGATCACCAACTGCAATCACCAGACTGGTATATCAAGCTCTTCATGTAATTATATATATTTCACATATTATTAATAGAATTTATAGTAGGTTTAACTAAGAAATCTCATAAAGTGTGCCATTACAAACCCTATACAAGCTTTTAAGTGTCAATGTTTATTTTTTATGTAGTATGTGTACTATTCTTAACGCATATGAACCAATCTACCCATCAGCCAATCAATAGAAGAAAACAACATACATGTAAATATTACTTATATCCCTTAGCACAAATTCATCTGCCCTTTCAAACCATGATAACAAGAAAAACAGTGCATGGGTAATTATAGCCTGTGATTCTCTAACTAAAAATTATCCTGTGATTCAGTCAATCAGCAATAGAAAAACAGTGAATTGTTACCAGTACAAAACCACTTTTAACAATCAGCATATCAGCAGAGGAAACTAGTGTATATGCAACTACTATCTAATTGCCTCTAGTATGAGCTAACCTGCTGCTTAACCCACAGTAAAGAAAAAAACAAAAAAACAACGTACATGAAACTACTACTTGTACTCTTCTATTACCCTAACATTCAGTTCACCACCGTAGGAAATTAATATAAGTGCAAACTAATACTTGTTGTTACATTCACAAACTGACTGTTACATAATACATGGAAAGAATATGTGTGCTTATTGTTATGCAGCATAAATTTATTAATTTTTTTCCTCAAAGAAGTTGTAAGTACTTAACCACAAAAAACAAACAAACAATGCATGACAGAAGGGAATGCTAAGCTCTTAAAACAACAGCTATATTAAAACGAGACTTAATATAAATAGTTTCACAATCCATGGTAATATTGAATTTCACTTCAGTCTCCACAACACATCAAGAGACTTAAAAACTTTCCCATTTCTCATCTAAACTTTTACGTATTATATTATGAAATCTAAAATAGAACAAAAATATTTGTATTTGCAATATAATTTACAAGAAAGCATATTTAACTTCAATAAACATTTAAAATACAGAACAACAAACTACAGTTAGATATAAGATGAAACATATAGAACATATAGAATTATTTTTTCCAGTTATAATCTACAGTAAATAATCTATAATACAACTGTGCTTATTGTTCAGTAAGTACTAGTGCAACACATTTACTCTTGATCTAGTCATCTACGAAAGTTCTCCAATAGGAGCATTCTCTAGCCATAAATTGTGCATGAAGTGGTAGAGGTCATCAGAAACGGAGACCTGAAAAGAGTGAATAATCAATGTCAGCCAGCTGAAATATAAAAATATCAAAATTCATTGGCAAATAAACATGCTTTATAAATTACAACTTTAACTTGAAAGCTTCTTGAAGAAGTTAATAAAAGACAACACTATAGGCCTATACTTCTAAAGGTTTCTAAACCTTTTATAAAGATCATGCTGGTCTGTAAAGTCTGTTTCAGGTGGTACTACACTGTATGATAAAATACAAAGGGTTGAGTATATTATATTAAAATGATTTTGACTTTGCAAATGAACAAGTGATACAACAACAGATTAATATAAAGTCACTGTAGAATGGAATGTATCAGAACTACATTTTGACATTGTTTAGTGTGTCTAAGGTATCATGGTGCTACCAAAAACATAATTATTGGGAAGGGTATGTAACAGTCACTACTGATGAAAAATATTCATATATTCAGATGATAAAGATATGATCAGATAGGGGATTTAGAATTTCCAATATGGGAACATTCCCTACTCTTAATGACATCAGAAAACAAAGGAATATAGATTAATTTGGGGAACTGGGATCATCCAGAAATAGTCTGCACCAAATCATACTACAGCTATGCTAAGCAAAGTATGGTTACTTGTAACAAATGATAATCCACCAGTGCAAGAGATAGTGGCAAAAGCCATCCACACACCTCAGGCAACAGTGTAAAACATAATCAAGACAAACCTCCATTTGAAAAACAAGGCCAACAGGGTAAGCAATATCCAAAATATGACTTCCAGTCATATCTCTCTTTCAACCATCACATAACTCAAGTAGCTGGAGAATGAAACATGTATTTATGTTTTTCCATTTGAATATGTAATGGTAAGGATGTAGAATCTATGGGGTACTTCTATGCAACTGGACTGTAACGAGCTCTAGGAAACCATCACACCCATACAGTAGATGGATTATGGAAGGCAAGCAGGGAGAAGTTGTGTGCTTTGGACATCTCAGCCTAATGATGGAGCCTTATCAATGGAAATCACACTGCAGGGCTATTGTCCAAATGTATATCATAAGATAGAACAGGAACAGATGTGGTAACAAGGACTAGAACAAAGTGGTGAGATTCCAAAATCATTTTAATATAATGTACACAGATATTAATATCTGAAGAGACATTAAAAAGGCCTTAAAGGATTTACAGTTATGTTAAAAATAATACATATAACATATAATTCTAAAAGGAAACAAATACAATGAAGCACTTAGTTTTGAAAAGATGTCCAAAATGTGCCTATTGGTTTTCAATGGATATGACATATTGTAACATTTAGTTTTGTAGCACATCAAGTTATACCTAAATTTGAAGGAAAACACACACAATTATTTCATTTTGTTGTGAAAACTCATCCTTAATGCTCACCCTGCCAGTCAGCATTTGCAATTATTTTAAGACTTTGTCAATTGTTCAAAAAACAAAATACAACAAACAAACTTTGATCAAAAATGTTGATTAGTTTAGTTTTTGAATTTTGTTTTTTTTCCACAAAATCTTGCTCAAAACTTTAAATGTTGTATATTATTTATTCAGTGTTATTATTGCACTCTTATGATCAATAAAATTGGCCACTGTATACGTGACAAACACATGCCATTAAATTGCTGCAAATTCCATTTGTCATTCTTTAGTTTTATTGCTGCTAGATTCTTTAAATTATGTCCAATCATTGGATTAATCACAATTTAACACTGTTGTTTTGGCAATCATAATTACTTTTATTGCTGTAATGGTGTATTGTGCAAATATGCTACCGATTATTCATTCAGCAAATCAAATATGCTGTAGCATCAACCTTGTTAGTGTAACTAATCACTAAGTCTAACATTTTATAAAAAAAAGAATATTGTACAGTCAAGAAATGTGAACTGTTTGTTTTCCATAAACAATCAAGGAAATGAGGAGTTTAATTATCATAAATATCAAAGACAGCTGATCACACTATGTGTTGATTACAGATACATTCTTTATATTATTAAAAACTCAATTGGGGAACTACTGAATTGGAATGAGCTTGTAAGAAGTTAAACAAAGGTGCAAATAAAACACGTTTGAACAAGAACATAGTTCTCATTATTTTATTTCACACTCAAGTTACTCATTCACTTACAGAGAAAAACATACAACTATTAATAAAATGTGCTTCAGACAGTATTTAATTTAGCTAATGAAATAAAACTGCATAAAATTATGTCTACATAATAAAAGAACAATGAATTTAAACTTTGAAAGTAACACAGGTTTGTTATACTTTTACTTAAAAAATTCATCTAACCTTTTTGATGTATACTTTCTTGAGCTCACGATTATTTGTTCAGCTCATGCTTGAATTATGTGCAAGGTTTTGTTACTAAATGTTTTGCACAGAAAGCTCTAACTAAAAATTTTCAAAGTGAGCATTGATCCTGTACAGTACTATGTAGTTCTTAAAGGAAATGTCCAATAAACTACAAAGGCTTCATATAACACACTATTAAAAACAAAAACTGTATTATAGTTATAAAAAGACATAAAATAGGTTTCTTATATTTGACATGTCATTTACCTTTAAATAACATGTGTAATAGTTATTTAGTTCTCAAAGAACACATAATATGCAGAATATATTTAAAAGGCTATGATGTTATGCATGTTTCTTTTATGAGATATGATTTTCAAATTTTCTTGACTACAAGAAGAAATTGCAACATTAATTTGTTAATTACTACAACAATAAATAACAGTGAGTGTTTGAGTCTGCTTGATGAAGAAGCTAATTTAAATGTATAATTTTTTGATATATCTAGTTTTCAATATACTTTTGAAAGTATTATTTATTCTTAAAATAATAAATAATAAGTGATTAATTGCAGTATAAGCTTTAGACAACTGACCAGGATGTATCCATACCACAACAATAAACATTTTTTTGAAATACTACCTTTCAGTAAAACTAGTGAACATAGTATTATTTTTAATGGTTAGAGCATAATAGTTATTGTATCAAATGAAATACCAATTTCAAATGTATTATTAGAAAAAACAAAAATTCATTATAAATGCAGAAAATAAATATCCAAAACAATGCTAATTAGGAATTTATACATATAACTCAGCAATATCCATTTTTCAGGAAAGAAGACTGACAGTCCATAGTCATCAATATGTGTTTAGAAATAGCCTACAAGAGATATTCATGGTCTATGGTAATGATACAAAATTGAGTGTCTAGACCTTACAGCTCTTTGTTCCATCATGGATGGTACTAAACATGATGACCATAGTTTGTGGACTATTGTTCTGTTGTGCAGTTATGCTTTATAGGAGGTTTTTGTGCATTACACTGAGTTCAATGTTAACCCCTTTTGCTTTACAAGTATTCTAAAGTCCACCATTGTTGCATGGTCAATGGGCTTCTGAGGACCTGTTGAGCAACTCAATAGCACAGAAGTCCATCGAAGATATCTGTGAATGATAGGGTATAAATTCCTGTTTGTACTTGCATCTTGTAGAGGAAATGGCATGATTACTTTGACATATGGCTGGATGCTTTGTCAAGAGTCATATTTTACTGAAATCTAGTCCATACGTGGATGGTACTTCTTTCCAGTATAGTGGTTTCAGCACATTAGCCTGACAGTTCATCCTGGCATTTTACTTGATTCTTCAGATCTTTAACGTACCATTTTAGCTATAACATGCAATCATTATCAACTGCTTCTAAAAACTAGACACACAAACATTCTGTATCATTTCTTTGGTGTTTTATCATTAGCAAGAAGATAAGAAATTCCTTGGAGTTTTTCAAACACATAAGTAGATACATGCTTCTTTGTGTGATGACATTCTTACAGTTGTCACATGGCAGACAGTGCTCATACAGCTCCTGTTTGACCATACACTTTAATAGAGGAATGTGAACACAGCCTTTTAGTATTCCTAAATCCACATGAATTATCTTGTTTATTCTTCCTAGGAAGATTCTTATCTTGGCTGCAATGGACCAACTTCTGCATTCTTGGGTTATTTCTGGTGACAAATTACTTACCGTTTTTTTCTTCTTCTCAAGTGTATGACTTACAGTGAATGGTGTAGTCTTTTTTCTATTATTATTTGCTGGAATCATGACTATCTTTTACTAAAGTCATCCCTTTCTTCTAAATGCAAAAAATTTTCCACAACTGTGGAAAAGAAGAACCTTGTATCAGAAAGCCTTTTAATGTAACCATCCAAGAAGAGAGACATTTTAAATGACATCAGTAGTTGCAAATCATAACACTTCAACTGTACAGTAACAAGACGACTAAATATGCAAATTTTTACTCTACATAGTAAATAACCTTTGTAAGACTATGCACAGTTAACACTAGAAAAGGAGTAAACACAACAGACAAACAAATAGTTAATGACTTTTTTTTTTTTTATCCACAATCAAATTTGCTCTACTTGAAATAGTCAGTCTAGCACTTAGTGAAAAGTTAAAGCTGACAAATGTTTACAAATTATACCTAGGGAACTATGAAGCTAGTGTTACTGACTAATATGACAATTTCTTACCGAATATAGCCATTCTTGTTGCTCCGATATCTAAGCCAGCAGGAAGTGTTGTTGAAAAATGTCAGTTTATACTGGTTTTCATAAAACTCATTTTCAATACATTTACAGAAAATAGTTTTGCACTTTTAAATATTTTATTAATATGATGAATAGCTCTATTTTCTTTCCTTAAAACTTTTGTATTATACATTATTGTTGTATGCATGTGAATCCCCTGTATTCAAGTACTTACGAACATTGTATAATGCATTCCATGGGGTTTGCTATAAGCCTAGAATTGCTTGTATATAGTTGTTTTATTATATGAAAAACTGTACGTTTCACAAGTTCTGAATGTTTCTCCACAGTGAATGTATTTATTCTGTTACAATGTGTCATTTTTTGCAACCATAATTTTTACTTTTTTGTTATAATTGTTAAAGCCTTACAGTTTACTTAGATTACACAATTTTAAGAGCTGTCTCAGTAAGTTGCTTTTTTGTTTGCTCTGTTTTAAGCATTCATACATACATACAACAAAATTATGAAAAAGCTGCTTCTGCATGTTTTATTACATTTTTATAAAATTTAAAACCAAACAGAATAGTGAATAAATAATTTAAAATAACACTTGTGGAAAACATCCATTAAAGGGATACAGTGTTAA